GAGGGGGATTTTGGGGGGGGTCTTGAAGGTCCCGAAGGGTCCTGAGGGGTTTGGGGGGTTGGGGGGGGGATTTGGGGGAGTTTTGGGGGGTTTTAGGGGAATTTTGGAGGAGTCTGAGGGGATTTTGGGAAGGTCCTGAGGGGTTTGGGGGTTTTGAGGAGGATTTGGGGGAGTTTTGGTGGATTTTAGGGGAGTTTTGGAGGGGTCTGAGGGGATTTTGGGGTGTCCTGAGGGGTTTGGGGGGGTGTGAGGAGGATTTGGGGGAGTTTTGGTGGATTTTAGGGGAGTTTTGGAGGGGTCTGAGGGGATTTTGGGGTGTCCTGAGGGGTTTGGGGGGTTCTGAGGAGGATTTGGGGGAGTTTTGGTGGATTTTAGGGGAGTTTTGGAGGGGTCTAAGGGGATTTTGGGAAAATCCTGAGGGTCCTGAGGGGTTTGGGGGATTCTGAGGAGGATTTGGGGGAGATTTCGGGGAGTTTTGGTGGATTTTAGGGGAATTTTGGAGGGGTCTAAGGGGATTTTGGGGTGTCCTGAGGGGGATTTTGGGGTGTCCTGAGGGGTTTGGGGGAGTTTTGGAGGATTTTAGGGGAGTTTTGGAGGGGTCTGAGGGGATTTTGGGTAGATCCTGAGGGGTTTGGGGGTTCTGAGGAGGATTTGGGGGATTTTAGGGGAATTTTAGGGGAGTTTTGGAGGGGTCTGAGGGGATTTTGGGGTGTCCTGAGGGGTTTGGGGGGTTCTAGGGAGGATTTGGGGGAGTTTTGGGGGATTTTAGGGGAATTTTGGAGGGGTCTGAGGGGATTTTGGGGTGTCCTGAGGGGTTTGGGGGGTTCTAGGGAGGATTTGGGGGAGTTTTAGGCGGGTTATAGGGACATTTTTGGGGTATTTTGGGTCATTTCGGGTTCGTTTTGCTCCATTTGGGCTCATTTAGGAGCATTTGGGGTCGGTTTAGGGACATTTTGGGCTCATTTCTCTAAATTTTGGGACATTTTGGGTTAATTTCTCTGCATTTTGGGACATTTTGCTCTTGTTCCTCTCCATTCTGGGCTAATTTCTCTCGATTTTGGGACACTTTAGGCTCATTTCTCTCCATTCTCACCTCATTTCTCTCAGTTTTGGGGCATTTTGGGCTCATTTCTCTCCATTTTGGGACACTTTGGGCTCATTTCTCTCCATTTCGGTCTCATTTATCTCAATTTTAGGATATTTTGGGGTCATTTCTCTCCATTCCTTCCAATTTTCTCCCCATTTTGGGGCATTTTGGGCTCATTTCTCTCCATTCTCGCCTCATTTTTCTCCATTTTGGGGCATTTTGGGCTCATTTCTCTCCATTTTGGGACACTTTGCTCTCATTTCTCTCCATTTTGGGGCACTTTGGGCTCATTTCTCTCCATTTTGGGGCATTTTGGGCTCATTTCTCTCCATTCTCGCCTCATTTCTCTCCATTTTGGGGCATTTTGGGCTCATTCCTCTCAATTTTGGGATACTTTGGGCTCATTTCTCTCCATTCTCGCCTCATTTCTCCATTTTGGGGCACTTTGGGCTCATTTCTCTCCATTTTGGGACACTTTGGGCTCATTTCTCTCCATTTTGGGACACTTTGCTCTCACTTCTCCCCATTTTGGGACACTTCAGGCACATTTCTCTCCATTTTGGGACACTTTGCTCTCATTTCTCTCCATTTTGGGACACTTTGGGCTCATTTCTCTCCATTTTGGGACACTTTGCTCTCATTTCTCTCCATTTCGGGACACTTTGCTCTCACTTCTCCCCATTTTGGGACACTTCAGGCACATTTCTCTCCATTTTGGGACACTTCAGGCACATTTCTCTCCATTTCGGGACACTTTGCTCTCACTTCTCCCCATTTTGGGACACTTTGCTCTCATTTCTCTCCATTTTGGGACACTTTGGGCTCATTTCTCTCCATTTTGGGACACTTTGCTCTCACTTCTCCCCATTTTGGGGCATTTTGGGCTCATTTCTCTCCATTTTGGGACACTTTGCTCTCATTTCTCTCCATTTTGGGACACTTTGCTCTCACTTCTCTCTATTTTGGGCCATTTTGGGCTCATTTCTCTCCATTTTGGGACACTTTGGGCTCATTTCTCTCCATTTCGGGACACTTTGCTCTCACTTCTCCCCATTTTGGGACACTTCAGGCACATTTCTCCCCGTTTCGGGACGTTTTAATCTAATTCCTCTCCATTTAAGGACGCTTTTTCCTTTTTCTCCCCGCAGATGCCGCTGTGGCCGCTGTGGCCCCTGCTGGCTCTGGCCCTCGGGGGGTCCCCCCACGCCCCCCACCCACATTTCGGGGCTCCCCCCACGCACGACCACGACCCCGAGGGGCTTTTCTGGGACCACGCCGCCATTTGGGGGGCGCAGGAGGCGCGGGAGCAGCGGGAGCTGCCCCCCGAGGAGTCGCGCCGGCGCCTGGGGTGAGAGGCACAAAGTCCCCGAGAATTCACCCAAAATCCCCCCAAAATTCACTAAAATTTCCCCCCAAAATTCCTGAAAATTCCCCCCAAAATTCACCCAAAATTCCCCCCAAAATTCATGAAAATTTCCCCCAATAATTCACCCAAAAATTCCTGAAAAAAACCCCAAAATTCAC